CAGGAGACGAGGCAAAATCGACGTCGATGTCGGTGGGAGGTGGGGAAACCCTAGATTCATGGGAGTCTCTCATGGGTCATGGGGGAGAATGTTTCGTGTTATTATGATCCTTCTTGTGTGCAGTAATGTTGCATGAGAACCACATGAAACGGAACAATCGGTATGGCAGCTTTTTTCTCACACCATAGCCAAGATCATTTCTTTGCTCTAAAAAAGAAAGACAAATTCTTACTGTAAAAAATAGGGATATTGTCTTTATTTACCATTAGAAAGAGAATTTGATGCCATACAGTGAACACGTGGTTTTCAAAGATTACGGCCACGAGAAAACAAAAATACGAGGGGTTCTTCATAAAGTAAAAACAGTGCCACGTGTTGGTCACTGTATTTGGGTTGAAAGCTTATTTTTGTAATTGTACTTAAAAGTATATGACCAATACAATCACTATATACAGCTTGAGGCAATTATATCCTTCACTGTATAGCTTCGTATTTTTGCTACTTTTACCGTTCAAATTGCCTACACCGCAAATAATGCAGCCTAGTCAGCCAACGTCCTCTCCCTACCTTTACGCAGTGTCACACCTGGCCACTTGTCTAGTGTGACGTGTCAAGGATCGGGCCCCAGCTGTAAGAGTGCATGAGTGAGAGCGAGGGAGTGATAAAAGGGGCAGTCAACCGCCTGTGGCAGGGCATGCGATGTAACAGACTATCAACTCATCCTAATCCTTCCTCTGGAAGCAATCTTCCTTCTTCCTCTCCAAGTCTCTCTCCCGCTCTCCCTCACCTACTCCGATCCCCTCCTCTCTGGTTCGTTACAGTTGGTAATCAGAGCCAAATCGCCCCAAAATTTTTTCTCCCCGCGCTGGTTGCAGAGCGGTAACATCCACCGCGCCAGTGTGTGCTGCTTCGGCAAGCTCACACGAAATCCGTCGCGGGGTTCGATCTCTTCCAAGCATGGCGACGACGCCCTCCAAAGCTTCGGCGGCGACGCGTCAGGTACTGGCCGCCATGGACGAGGGCAAAAACAACATCACCAAGATGCTCGAGTCCCTCCTCGCCAAGATGGACGAGCAGAAGGCGACCCACGACAAGCAGATCGAGATTCAGGCCGCCTTCAACGCGCAGATCTCGCAGGACGTGCGCAGCCTCTCCAGGCAGATCAATCTGACGCAGGCCGACGTCGACGCGACTCGCAAGACGGTGGAAGGCTCAGCATCGCCGTCGGGGTCGGTCACCACCGTGCTGCACCAACCCGCCGCTCCGCAACAACCCCCACCACCGCCCCCGCCGCCTCCACATTCGTCGCGCGTGGCCACCGAACAGGGCCGCCCGGCGACCGCCCACGCGCGGCGCGGGGACCATCGACCCCCGCCGATTCTCGTGCCTCCACAGGGCGGATTCACGGCCCCGGCCGCCGTTCCCTCCCCAACAGCGGGCCACTACGGCAACGACTACCACAAGCCACCGAAGCACGACTTCCCCCGATTCGATGGCTCCGCTCCATATCTGTGGCTAGATCGCTGCCTGGCATACTTCGAACTCTACAAGGTCGCACGACACAACTGGGTGACCACCACGGCGCTGTATATCGAAGGCCAAGCAGCGCACTGGCTGCAAGCATTTCATCAAACACATCACGGCATCACCTGGGAGGTCTTCACGTTCGCCGTGCTCGAGGAGTTCGGTGCCGATGAGTTCGAGGTGGTTATGCACAAGCTGCTTCAACTCCGGCAGACCGCCACGGTCGCCGAGTACTGTGCGGCGTTCCACGAGCAAATGTACCACCTGCTCGCGCTCGATCCGTCCATCAACACCAAGTTCTTCGTCACCCAGTTCATCCTGGGCCTGAAGGACGAGCTACGCGCCTCGGTTCGTCTGCAGGCGCCCTCAAGCATCACCAGGGCATCGGTGTTGGCGCGTATTCAAGAGTAGGAACTGGGCACGACGCGCGTGCGCCCACGCATCACTCCAACGGGGCGACCCCCACTGGCGGCGGCTCCACCACAACCTCGGGCGGCCGCGCCCAACCGTGCCCCCACGGACGACTATGCGCGCGAGCGGCAACTCCGCGACTATCGCCGCGCCAATAATTTGTGTTTCAAGTGCGGCGACCGATACTCGCGGGAGCACCGGTGTGCGCAGCCCGCCCAGCTGCTCACCATCAGTGTCGGCGATCACGGTGAGGTGCTCTCCGACGACACCATCCATGCGCTGCAACTCCTCGACGACCCCAGACCGGTCGCGCAGCCACCAGCTCCTGTTGGGGATGCTCCCGAGTGCTGCCTCCTCTCGTCGCACGCTCTGGACGGCACGGACTCGGCGACGACGATCCGCCTGCGCGCACTGGTGGGCAATCAGGTCATGCTACTTCTTCTTGATTCGGGCAGCTTGCATAGCTTCGTCAACAAATCTTTCGTCGATCGTCTCGGGCTGGCGACAGAAGAAATGTCGCGGGTGGATGTGTGCGTCGCCAACGGTAACCGTCTCTCCTGCAACCGCATCGTCCCCGAGCTCAAGTGGTGGATGCAAGGGCACACGTTCGCCACACCGATGCGCGAGCTGGACATTGGCGCGTACGATGGCATTCTGGGCATGGACTGGCTTGCCCAGCACAGCCCCATGACATGCCACTGGCAAGACAAGTGGGTCAAGTTCACCCACGAAGGCGAAGAGGTGACGCTCCGGGGCGCGCCCACCAAGGCGTCCACCACCCTTAAGGCGATCAAACCCGACGAGCTGCGCAAGATGATCGCGGGCAACGACGTATGGGCCATGGCCATGGTGGACACGTGCGGGCGCGCACCGCCACCATGGCGCAAATGCGCCAGCCAGACGCCCCTCGCCGATCTCCTGGAGGAATTCGCCGACGTCTTCGCCGCTCCCCAGGGCCTGCCGCCCCATCGCTAGTATGACCACACCGTCACACTGGTGGAAGGCGCAGTCCCCGCAAACACTCACCCGTACCGCTACTCGCCGCTGCAGAAGGACGAAATCGAGCGCCAGGTCAAGGAAATGCTCGACGTCGGCATCATCACACACAGCGTCAGCCCGTACGCGGTGCCGGTCCTGTTGGTCAAGAAGAAGGACGGAATGTGGAGGTTTTGCGTTGACTACCGTCGTCTGAATGATGCCACGATCAAAAACAAGTTCCCACTCCCGATCGTCGACGAGCTCCTTGATGAACTGGCGGGAGCAGCAGTCTTCTCCAAGTTGGATCTCTGCGCGGGGTACCACCAAATTCGCATGCGCGAGGAGGACGAGGCCAAGACCGCGTTCAAGACACATCACGGGCATTTTCAGTTCAGGGTCATGTCGTTCGGCCTGACGAACGCACCGGCGACTTTTCCAATGCCTCATGAATGCCATATTCAGTAAGTATGTGCGCAAATTTGTGATCATTTTCCTTGACGACATCCTTGTCTTTAGTGAAACAATGGAAGAACACATCGAGCACCTCCCGATCGTCTTCGAGCTGTTGCGGGCGCACCAACTGTTCGTCAAGGAGAGCAAGTGCAGTTTTGCCTGCGACCACATCGACTACCTGGGGCACGTCATCTCTAAGGAGGGCGTGGCCATTGACAAGGACAAGACGCTGGCCATGGAACAGCGGCCAACGCCGACGAACGCCACCGAGCTGCGTGGATTCCTGGGGCTCACCGGCTACTACAGGAAGTTCGTGCCGCACTACGGCATCATTGCAAAGCCCCTCACGCAGCTCCTCATGAAGAAGGGCTTCGCCTGGAGCGAGCAGGCGCAAGCGGCGTTCGAACGGCT